CTGCACCTCCATATAGAGGTCAATTTGCGCCATTAATCCATGCTCTACCGATTTGTCTAATACACTGATTCAACGACAAATGTAAAATATCTTAATTACCTACTACTTTTATTCAAACAACATAATGATTGAAATGCTAAAATCTAAAGTTTTGTCAAAATCCGGCAAGAATCATGCCTTCTAGAGTTTTTGCGAGCTACAAATTGAATGAGTTTTCACGAACAACGGCAATAACTCATACTAAATATTTTTCGATTTTTCTTATTTTCAATAGGCTTTATCCTTGGGTGGGTGATAACAAACACTCAAACCAAGTTTCATTAAAATCTGTCAAGAATTATTGCCTTCTAGAGTGTTTACAAGCTTAAAATTAAACGCGTTTTCAAGAACAAGGGCAATAACTCATACTCAATATTTTTCAATTTTTCTGATTTCCAATAGGGTTCATCCTTGGGTGATTACGAACACTCACACAAAGTTTCACCATACTCCATCAAGAATTGTCTCTTCTAGAGTGTTTACAAGTTAAAATTTGAACGTGTTTTCAAGAACAAGGGCAATAACTCATACTAATTATTTTTCTATTTTTCTGATTTTCAATTGGGTTTATCCATGGGTGATAACCAACACTCATGCCAAGTTTCGTCAAAATCCGTCAAGAATTGTGCCTTCTAGAGTGTTTACGAACTAAAAATTAAACCCATTTTCATACTAAACATTTTTAAATTTTTCCATAGGGTGATCCTTGGGTGATAATAAACATTCTACTAGTCACAATTCTTTAAGGATTTTGACGAAACTTGCAGAAATTGTTTATTATCACCCAAGGATGAACCCTATCTAAAATCGAAAAATGTTTATGAGTTATTGCCCTTGTTTTTCAAAACGTGTTAGATTTTTAGCTTGTAAACACTCTACAAGTCACAATTCTTGACGGATTTTGACAAAACTTGCTGAAATTGTTTATTATCACCAAAGGATGAACTCTATTGAAAGCCAATAGAATCGAAAAATATTTTATATGAATTATTGCCCTTGTTCTTCAAAACTTGTTCTGTTTTTAGCTCGTAAACACTCTACAAGTCACAATTTTTAACGGATTTTGACAAAACTTGCTGAAATTGTTTATTATCACCAAAGGATGAACTCTATTGAAAGCCAATAGAATCGAAAAATATCTTATATGAATTATTGCCCTTGTTCTTGAAAATACAAATACAAAAATGAAATAAATAATAGTCAATTGGAATTTGATTTTGTTTATAATGGGGAACCAAACTCGCGAGTTGTCGTTCCTTGATGTAGATGACGCGACGGCTATTGCGGTCCCGCGGTTCTGCAACAATGGCTGATCATGCAAATGGACGAAGCGTGATTATGGTCTACGGGACTTAACTAAACTGAGAAAGGAATTGAAATCTAGAGTGGGAAAAGTATCTGGAAGAAAGAGGGATTCAATCGAAAGGTTCGTAAGTTTCTTTGATCATTTTTAGCATCTGTTAACTAGATAAGCTTAGATCAATACGTCCTGTCAAAAAGCGAAAGTAGTTAAACATGGCAAGTGGTCAGGTGTCCTCGACAGTTCCACTCCTTAGCAGTTGCATAGTGTGAATTGAAAGACAATATAATTAAAAAAGTGTTGATAATCTGAAAAAAACATCAAGTAGTCTACCTGTAAAATACCCCTTTCGCACTGCACAACGGTTGCGGGCCCGCGGTTCTGCAACAATGGCTGCAAATGGACGAAGCGTGATTATGGTCTACGGGACTTAACTAAACTGAGAAAGGAATTGAAATTTAGAGTGGGAAAAGTATCTGGAAGAAAGAGGGATTCAATCAAAAGGTTCGTAAGTTTCTTTGATCATTTTTAGCATCTGTTAACTAGATAAGCTTAGATCAATACGTCCTGTCAAAAAGCGAAAGTAGTTAAACATGGCAAGTGGTCAGGTGTCTTCGACAGTTCCACTTCTTAGCAGTTGCGTAGTGTGAATTGAAAGACAATATAATTAAAAAAGTGTTGATAATCTAAAAAAAACATCAAGTAGTCTACCTGTAAAATACCCCTTTCGCACTGCACAACTGAATTATTGAATTGGGTTATAACCGAATAGAAAAATCCGATTCAGTTCGGTTCGATTCAGTTCGGATTGCTTTCGCACTGCAATCCTATCTGGATAGCCGCTTTCGCACTGCCGAGACAAGTTATCTGGATAACTTTTTAGTTTTAGTAACACATCATGTCGGCTGGCAATTATAATTGGAGCAACGACGAAATTTGCTGCATGCTCGCTGTCTGGGGCGATACTAAAATTCAAGATGAATTAGATGGCATGAAGAGAAAAAACATGTTTTTTCAACTATTGCCAACTCGTTCTGATTAATAATGCCAGCTCTCATCCACCATTCCGACCTAGGTTGCACCCACAGTTGATGGGACTGAAATTCCTTGTTTATAAATAAAAAATATGAAAATAAAAACAAAAGCATTTTCCGTTTCCTCTTCCGATATATATATTCATTCTTTTCCTAGACAATTCGTGTACTTTATTAATCCCGTCAAATATCATAACGTCCCCGCCAACAGGAGCCATTTTGAAGTGCTTATACACATGACTCCCCACGTGATAAACTTATCCGGATAACTTCTTGTTTGGTTTCGCACTGCCACTTATCTGGATCGTATCCAGACGAAATCCACCTCTTGAGGTAGATTTTTCTATCCGGATAACTTCTGGTTATAACCGAATAAGTTTTTTTGCCAGTGCAAAGCAGCCGGAAGTTATTCGGATAGAACTCGATAGAACCGAATTACTTTTGTAGTGCGAAAGGGGTATAAGACACTAGCCTAATAGGCTAGGCCTAGGCTAGTGACTAGATTAGTAGTAATAGACTATCGATGGCGGTAGTGTGATTGATCTAGGCCTTACCATTTTCCAATTTCAATTTAATCCTTTCAAATTTTAGGATAACTCCTGTGATGATAATGGGCAGTTCAATTCATGTAGGATGGTAGTTCTGGGCCCTACCCTTTTCCTATTATAATAGTTTCTGGGGTTAGAAAGTTCTTGAAAAAAACTATCTTTATGTTTTACTTTTTAGACTTGAATTTTTTGACAGAAATAAAGATATTGAACACGACGAATTGGAAAATGAATATTCAATGGAGATTCCTAATTATGATCTTTACAAAGACATTAACACTGATACCAAAATTTCATAACTGAAGTTAGAATCTATCCTGTGTTACCATGAACAATTTCAAAAGAAACTTGATGATGACTCAAAGAAACTTTATACCAATCGTTTTCTGAGAATAGCATCTACTGACGGTTTATATTTTTTCAAATCCGAATGTCATGCAGAAATGAAGAAGAAAGTTTTGTATCACATTGACATAGATGGCATTATAGCTGAATCCCAGTGTGAGTGTGCTGCTGGAAATGTACCCACTATATGTAAGGCAACTGATAGAACAAACCTTGAGAAACTTCCATGACTGAACCTTTCCAAGACATACAAGCTGCTCCTCTTATCTATGGAAAGAAGTTTGAAAAAATTGCCATTGACGAGTTTGTTAAACACAGGATACAGTCGACCAATGTGGAATATTTGTTTGTAAAGGTAGTCTGTTTCTAGCTTCCTCACCGGACGAATTGATGGATAATCATAAAGTGATTGAGGTGAAGTGTCCATATTCATCTAAAGACAAATGCATCAATACAAACACTGTGCCATATCTGAAATATTGTGAGACAAATAAAAAGTATTATCTTTCAGAAAATCACGACTTATTATTTCCATGTTCAGGGTGCACAGGATGCCAAGAATGCATTTTCATTGTTAACACCTTTAAAGATATGAAATTCAAAACTATCAACAGGAATGACACTTTTATTCAAAGTATGGTACAGAAATTAACTTTGTTTTATAATAATTATGACAAAGTGTGTCGATATCCCCTTTTTGCGATGGCCGTATCTAGTGCTGGTGGTCCTTGTCCGTAAAAGAAGGTTAATAGCAGTTTTTAAATATCTTTATATAATAGACTTCACGTTGTGTTCAAGTACAAAATCAGCAAGTATAATTCAAGAGTAATTTCTAGTCGAGAGTAATATCGAATGCCTAATAGTCTTAAAGGTAGCCAAAGATAAGACCGTATGAGTAATAACGTTTCCTGTTAAGTACTAAAGACAGAGAGCAGTCTTCTAATATTTATACTCTCGACTGTATACGTCAATCGACAGGAATGTTAATCTGTTAATCTTTTAATATTGGTACTTAAAAAAAATAACCATTGAACTAGTACTCTTTTGAATAACTTTGAATATGAATGACCATTAAATAATAGCCACGAGTTCTAATTCATGGGCTATTATTTTCTATACCAATTTCATGATCCAAAGCGCCGTAGGCAATGACATATTAACCTACAAAATCTGAATACGGGAGGATCTCAGTTTTGTTACAATCCTCCCTTAGCAGAGGGTCACGAAATTGGGGTACCAAAAAGAAAACATTTTTAAATTCCTAATTTATCCTCAATCCTGTCGATTCTTATCATCATAATTATTAGGAACACAAGTTGAAAAAAATACATTACAAAAAACAATCCTTCAATATAATCAGAAAAAACACAAAGCATGACGGTAAGTCTATATTGTTTATATACACTACTATGAGCTATATGTCATTCACCATAAAAATTTGTATCCACCATAAAAAGTTATATTATATATCCACCATTAAGGTTATATCCACCATTAAAAGTTACATCATATATCCACCATAAAAGTTATATCCACCATAAAACTTTCTTGGGGTGTTTGGGTTTGCGGTTGTTGCTTCTACCATTGGGTTAGTAGGTTTCTCAAGTTACGTTGTTTATTCCACCATAGGTCTGTTATATTTTCGAGGAAGTAGGATGCGTTTCACCATTAACTAAACTTGTAGTCTTCAACTATAAAGAGATCTACACATTTGTTTTTTTAAAATTATGTCAATTACGTTGTAGATTCTTGGGCTTTGGCAGCATTTCGGCTTTGTGCCAACTTTAATAAATAATCTATGGTCATTCTTCCTTTAGGTAGAGGAATACTGGATTCATCAGATGGGGTTGGAGGATCATCCCTCGGTCTAGGGATTGGCGGGTACATGTTGTTAGGAAGTAGAGGAACCGTAGGACCAGGTCGAGATGTTGGTTCATCATTTGGAGCGGAAGGTATAGTGCGCAACTCCACATCGGAAGACCTTTTGTTTCCCCGCCCATGAGCAGTCCGAGTTCGAAGAACCGACAGAAACCTATGCCCCATTCTTCCTACTAAACAATATTTTATAAAGACAAAGAGTATCAAAATACCCGTTATTACTGCTATGCTAATAGCAGCGATTTTCCAAAGTGGCCATTTTTCTGTAGCTTCATGCTCTAATTTCTGTAAATTCTCAATTTCGTACGTTAGTTCCTTCATTGGGATATCAGTAATATGTTCTAATTTGGGTGGTAATTTTGTAAGTGAGTAATTCTCGAATTTGGTGATATAAGGTTGCCAAAGGTCTTGAATTGTTTTCTCAAAAATAGCAGTCACGTTTGGGAAGGACGTGGAATCCATGTATGAACTTTCGTTCGAAAAGTGTGCGGGTAGTTCTAGAAAATCATTTTGAGCCTTACATGATTGTGGTAAGGTGATCGATTGTATCGGTGGCCGTATCACGACAGACTGGTGTACGAAACTAGTCTGATGACATACAATTGAAAATCGGATTGGTCGGTGCGTGACAACCATCCACATACCGTTTGTTAAATATGTTGCCACTGGTAAAATACAGTTCGGCTTAATAAAGACTTTACATAATTGGCGTATCTTCTCTCGATTTTCCGTAAACAAGGCAACTATACAGAGTTGTGACAAATTAATAGGGTAGATAGGACTTGTAATTTGGCAAAATCCAGCCAATGGGTCTGAACATTTAGTGAATTCGTCAGAATCTAGAATTGCATATTTTGTTCTATCAGTATTAACTGCGATGACCTCAGCCTCGAGCCGATATGAGGCTACCATTTTAAAGGTCGCTTTAGACTTCGATAAAATTAATTTGTTCGTCATAGGTAATGGTAAATTATGAATTTTATAAATTTCAAATACGCGATCGGAATCTAATAAGGGTATATTCAACACAACAATGATCTTATTATTTTCGATTATCGTTACACAGTTTAAAATTCGGTAGTAATGCCAAAGGTTTTTCTTAGGATTTGCCGGAAGTCGTACACTCGGAGGTAGGTGGGATTGAATTTCGAGTAATAGTTTGCGGAGACTTCCGGGAGTCAATACACTTGGTGACAAATGTCCTAAGGAAAGCATGTTAAGTTGAAGTTTGATTTCTGATGCGTACATTTCTGCTCGAAGGTACATGTTTTTGAGGTCATCAAGAACTAACTTCATCCTTAAATATAGATGAAGAAATCCTTCTGAACTTACTAGTTTCTTTTTAAATTGCCGAACCACGTTTTTTATCTTGATATCCAAGTTTCGTAAACTATCTGATAATACATTAACTTGTTGCCTATTTTCTGAAATATGTAAGCGTGATACATTTAATATAGACAAGCTTTCAGCAACTACATGTTGAATAGCTTGTTGGTTATTAGCTAGCGTATCGATATTACTTCTTATGACATTTAAATCGTCGGTACTGACAGTACCGAACAACCAACTTAACGCTTTGCCTACAAATGGAATAAGAGCTCTTTTTGGCCTAGCATGTTTCATGGACAGTGCTCTATAGTCTTGCACACCATCCAGTAGATCTTCTATCTCGTCTCGAAGAGTTATTACCTCGATCTTTAATTTGCCAAACGTATTTTCATATTCTAAACTATTGTTCCCTACAGAATAATTCGTCATTATTTCGTCTACAGTGAGTAAAGTACGTCCTATGTCAATGGCAAGGTCACTGGTGAACTTCGTAAACGGAGTTATATCATGGACCAGGGTCAAGAGCCATTTAGACCGACTTGTGGATACCTGATGTACTGGTCGAAAGAGTACATTCTGAGAAACCTTGGTTGCCGCAGTGATACCATAAACAGGTAATAATAATAACCAAATACAACGCATTCTCTCTGAAAAATAATGGACCATTTACTTTAAAACAACAACAACTACAACAAAATTATAATTAATTTTAGTTACATGTGGACACAAATCATGATAAGCGTTAGATATCTACGCCTTAATTAGGTAAATCATGTTTTGTTCCCATCATTTTCGATACACGATATACTCGTTGTTGTATCCATAATGATAATTAGGTTATTTGACCGCAATAGTAATTTGTATGGCCTAAGATAGTATATTGATATAAGATCAGAGAAGGCGCCTTTCTCATCACTCACAACACACGTACCTGATTGGACCAGAAATTACTCATCCGATACATCACCTGACGACGATTTACTTTCTACATTACTATCGTCGCTAACATCGTTATCTTGTGCTCTTATCCTTTGAGCTAATTCCATGAGAGGTATATCGCTCTCACTGGAGGAGTTTTCACGTACACGTCTGTACTTTTTGATTAACTGAGCTAAGGGTAACTCATCGTTTTCGGAATACTCCGAAGCAGAGCCCTCAGAACTCGAATCAGAGAGGGGTTCTACATACTTAGCCTGTCTAAGTCTTTGTTCATCAGTTGGAATGTCCCATTCGTCTATTTTAGCCAACCGTAATTGCTCTGCATGAGCTTTGGTCGTTTTGCCTGTGAGTTGACTCTTAATTCTATACGATACTGAAGATGTTTTTTCGACAATTTCTATAGTAAGGTGTCCATCGGTCTTCAAGTTTATTCTTCCTTAAGAAATTCTTATAATAGACCGGGTCACCAACTTTAAATTCGATGTTCTTAGTATTTTTATTTGCATATTTAGCCTGTCTTTTCTTAGCCTTTTTGACATTTTTATAAACTTGTAGGAATGAACGATGTTGATTTTCCAGTGCGATCTGATGGAAATTACCTTCACCTAAAAACTTACGTCTATGTTTGAGAATATTGTCTAACGGTAACACTGGATCTCTACAATAAAGTAATGTAAATGGAGATTGTTTTGTGCTAGCGCTTATATTGAATCTCAAAGCTGCAAGACTCTGGTTAAGGTGGATGTCCCAAGTGGAAATGTCAGATTTCAAACGTTTAGACAAGATATCGTGTAACGTTCGATGACTTCGTTCAACTACACTATTACTTTGAGGCCTGTAATAAGAAGTACAAATATGTTTTATATTTAAAGTTTGCATCGTTTCTTTCATGACTTTGTTTACATTTTCCGTTCCATTGTCTGTCACTATAGCTAATGGACAGCCGAACCTTGGAAACATTTCGTCAATCAGTAAATGTGCGACATTTTGTGCCGATTTATCAGGAATTGGAAATGCTTCAATCCAACCAGAGTACATACATACAAAACTGGTGATGTACTTATTTCCTGATAAACTTGTTGGGTAAGGTCCAGATAGGTCCAATGAGATCTTAGCCATTGGATATGGTGGTATACCTGTTTCAACTAAGTCTGGTTTATTTTTAGTTGTTGACCTTGCTTGACAAGTGACACAGTTTTCTACATACTTATATAGTTGTTTATATAAACCTTTCCAATAGTATTTAGTACGAATTAGAGCATAACATCTGTCAACACCACTATGTCCATTCTCATCATGATACTGATTAATGACTTTACTCGTCAAATGCTTGGGGACATAGAGACTTAAATTAAGATCACCATCTGGATCAGATATATAGTATAATAGGTCATCAACAACTATATATTTATTATTGACCGCAGGTTTAAGGTTTCCTTTTTCTAATTCAGTCTTAATATTTTGTAATTCATCATCTTTTATTTGTTCACTGACTAGGTCTAATTTTAGTGGGTCATCTTCGGGGTCACTTAAACTTTCATTATCATTCATATCGCAGTCTGCGAAATTACCTGTGTCAACCTTATTAGAATTTATCACATTTATTTCGAATGCATTGTCGTTTAATCGAGGTTCTATCTCCTCGTCGTCATCTGTTAAATTGTCAAAAGTTGCTACTGGCACTCGTGATAGCAGATCTGCTATCGAGTTGCTTTTGCCAGGAATGTATTCAATTTTACAATTATAACCTTGTATACCAAGTGCCCAAAGTTGAATTTGTTTATTTTGAAACGGTGATTCTAACAAGTACTTTAATGGTTGATGATCGGTTCTAATAATAAATTCCGCATTATGCAAATAATAGTCAAGTTTTTGCAAGCTATAATGTATAGCGTAACATTCTTTTAACACGGTACTATATTTAACCTGTGTTGAACTTAATTTATGACTTAAAAAGTAAATTGGAGTTTCGACTCCATCTATAACTTGTGCTAAACATGCACCTATGCAAGTGTCACTTGCATCCGTGTATAAAACGTATGGAAGATTAGAGTTCGGATAACCTAAAAACGGTATAGTAGTAAGACTATTTTTTAAGAAGTCAAACGCAAGTTGACATTCTGTTGTCCAATTAAATCTAGCAAATTTCTTAGTTAAATGTATTAATGGTTCTGCAATCTTACTAAAATTTGGTATAAGTCTTCTATAATAACTCATCCCGCCAATAAAAGAACGAGTCTCGGTGACTGTGGTGGGAGGAGTCATAGCTTTTAACGCTCTTACTTTATCTGGGTCAGCCGAAATACCACTCTTAGTAATAGTAAAACCTAAATATTTCGTCTCTTCTTGCATGAATGAACATTTACTGGCCTTGAGCTTTAGGTTATGTTGTCTTAATCTATCAAAAACTAACTTTATATGTTTAAAGTGATCTTCTTGTGTTTTTGAGAATATCAAAATGTCGTCAAGATAAGCGACTGCAAAATCACTGAGGCCTTCTAATACTCGACCAACTAATTGCATGAATACTCCGGGTGCATTAACCAAACCAAAAGGCATGACATTGAAATGAAATAAACCTCGATGACATGTAAATGCAGTTTTTTCTTTGTCATCTGCATGCATCTGCACCTGCCAGTAACCTGCTCGTAAATCAACGAGGCTGTACACCGAAGATGCATTTAATTGTGCTAATAGATCGTCGATTAATGGGAGAGGGTAAGAGTTGATTTTGGTGATTTTATTCAATGCTCTGTAATCAACACAAAAACGCCTCCCTCCATCTTTCTTGTCTACAACTACAATAGGGAATGCATACGGGGATGAGGAATGTGCAATTATCCCTGCACCTAGCATATCATCAATCGCTTTGTCAACAATTTTTGTTTTATTTAGTGGTGTCCTATATGGCCTTATTTTTATGGGTGGGTGATCACCGACATCAATCTTCATTTTGACAGTATCTGTCTGTCCAAGTTCGGTATCGCTCGAGGCGAATATATCTCTATATTTAGTAAATATATTCATTAGGCGTGACCGATGATTGTTTGGTATTTTTATATCTTTAAAACAGTCCTTAGGTTGTTCATTACTAACCTGGTTTACATCTAAAGATGGGATTAATTCACTTACGTCGTTATGATTGACAGGGTCTATTTGACCTATTAAGCAACCTCTCTTTAAGGTCATAGTTTTGTTAGTATTATTTACTATTGTAATGGGCATACGTCCATTGTTTCGTTCAACATTTACTGCTGCAACTAGTGCATTTGCAACCACTATTCCTGGTTGTGTGCTCACGAAACCAGAATCGGTTCCTTGTATTTGTAGCATGGGCGAATTCGGGTTTAAACATTTTGCCCTTCCTACACTCATACAACTACTTTGAGGATGTAAAACAACGTTTTCAGTCAACCGTACAAGGGATGAAATACGAATGTCATGTTGTAGGGGAACATACGTTCCATAGATCCTCAGGCATTTGAGGTCGAAATATATCCTCACATTCTTCTCGGCTAGAAAGTCTCTTCCTAATATCAAATTTCTATTCATAGAAGATACAATAAAGAGTTTATGCTTCATTTCTTTGTTTCCTATTTTAAATTCGAAATCGGTACTTCCATCAATAATTAAGGATTGTCCGCTTACGGAACGTAGAATTACATTTTCCTTTTTGAGCTTAGGTTTATATTTTAAATTTTGGTAAACGCGCCTGTGCATCAAAGACACTTCTGCACCGGAATCAATTAATGCTCTATAGTATTGTTTTTCAAATTTTACCAAGCATGTACTTGGATTACCTGCCAAGTTTACTTCAAAAATTTTCTTATTTTTAGAATTTCGTTTTGACTTACAATTTTTGTTGGAAATAGGTTTATTTGTTGAAAATACTTTCTTTCTCTCCTCGTTAGCCGGTTTACGAGGAGAGGCTAATGGTTTCCCGAATTTAGTCGAACTTTGCAATCGACTTGTTTATGACCTAATTTACCGCACCTCCAACATTTAATTGGAGGACGGGATTCCTTAAATGAGTCCGCACTGTTAACATGTCTATTGTTAGGTTTTCGTCGGCAATCTTTTGCCTCATGTCCATGTCTATAGCAAATTCTGCATTTCCTGGGTCGGAAATGGTCAACCTCCATGGGTTCGTCTCGGCTAGAACTATCTTCGTTACGCGGGTAACTACTTCCTGTTCTTAAAGCGAACTGTGTTCTCAAATTTTGCTCACCCATGGCTAAGGTCACCGCTAATTGCAAAGTTTTGGGATTTTCCCGTAGAATTTTCAATTTTAAATAATTTTCTTTTAATCCGTCAACAAAGAACCCTACAAGTTGCCTTTCTATTTCTAACGACGATGTTCCTGAATATGCTTCCGCCGCTAATACCAAAAGTCGCTCACCAAAACATTGTACATTTTCATTATGATTTTGTTTAACTTTTCGGAGTAACGCGAAAGCATGTTGTGCATCAGTTACTTCTGCAAAAAGCGCCGAGAGTTCATCCTTTAGCGTAGGCCAATCTGCTGTGGGATGGGTATCGAGATAGCGCCTAATAAAATTAGACACCACCCCTTTACTCGTTTGATAAGCGATCAATTTCATTCTCTCAGTTGGAATGGATGCTAACACTGCATACTTTTCAATGGATCTCGTCCATTCCCTAAAGGCTTTGGGATCCCCCTCAAAAGAGTCTATTATTGTTACCACCCCATTAGTCGATATTGAATTTGTAAGCCTACTTAATTGGTCTGATAAAGTGTGGAAGAATGAGGTTTCTTCTTCTGTTGACATGTTCTCGGATTATGCTCAATGGACAGTGAAACAAAATTAACTTACCGATAGGAGTGCGTTTCCTCTTCTGTTCCTTCTGTTTTCCTAGTTCCTTGATCTTCTTGCCCGTTCAGAATCCTGGTCACTCGCACCAGAAAAGATAGGTATATGACAAAGTGTGTCGATATCCCCTTTTTGCGATGGCCGTATCTAGTGCTGGTGGTCCTTGTCCGTAAAAGAAGGTTAATAGCAGTTTTTAAATATCTTTATATAATAGACTTCACGTTGTGTTCAAGTACAAAATCAGCAAGTATAATTCAAGAGTAATTTCTAGTCGAGAGTAATATCGAATGCCTAATAGTCTTAAAGGTAGCCAAAGATAAGACCGTATGAGTAATAACGTTTCCTGTTAAGTACTAAAGACAGAGAGCAGTCTTCTAATATTTATACTCTCGACTGTATACGTCAATCGACAGGAATGTTAATCTGTTAATCTTTTAATATTGGTACTTAAAAAAAATAACCATTGAACTAGTACTCTTTTGAATAACTTTGAATATGAATGACCATTAAATAATAGCCACGAGTTCTAATTCATGGGCTATTAATTTCTATACCAATTTCATGATCCAAAGCGCCGTAGGCAATGACATATTAACCTACAAAATCTGAATACGGGAGGATCTCAGTTTTGTTACATAATCACAAATTTGTTTTATTTACTTCATTTTAAATTGGCTAGAAATAGCTGTACTAAAATGAAAAATGTCAATCATGTTCATAATGTCAAGCTATGACAAACTGTGTAATTTTACATTGACTGCAATAGCCACTATTATTGTATCAAGCAATTTGATTGGATTGTATTACAGCAACATAGTCTGTCCATTTCATACACATGTACTTGTGCATAGATTCTAACAAATTGTACATCAGAATATTGTGTAAATAAATAGTTTATTATCATCTAGCCTGACAAATCAGGTCTTACCAATTTCTATAATATATTGGTATTGGTGTGATATCATCACTGGTAGAGAAAGCCATCTAATGTCACCTTTTATTGGAATTGAACCTGTTTTTTTTTAAAAAAAAACTCTTCACAATGTGCCAAAATTATAAACCTTCGGTATCCATACAAAGTTGAACTATAAAAACATTACCAGATATTATATTAAGTCCCTGTGCTATACAGGGTACCAAAACAAACAAGTTTGTAAAATAGCTGGTAATGACTTTATGAACTCTTAAAGTTCAACTTTGTATAGATACCAAAAGTTCTTAGAAATTTTGATTTTGTCATTTGAAGATAGTGGATAGTGACATTTGATGTCTGGTCCTACTTGTGGTAATATCATATGATAATCCTATATGTCATGTCCGAGAACCTTGGTATGGCCAGATTTGTCTGGCTAATGATATAATTACCAATCAATTCATTTTTCATTCAGAAAATTGAAGTGATTGTAAACTGGTATTCTTAGAATTTCTAATCTTCTAATGTGTATTTGGGACATTATTTTGTACCATTCCAATTTTCATTCAGACATCTGTGTTTTCTGTAATTCCACTTCAACTAAGCGCTGTATGATCTCAATATTGTAAAAGCTGCTAAAAATATCTTGGGGCCTTTGCATTGATGTCTCAAAGGAAGTATGCCTGTAACCATAAAAATAAAATATGTATAAGTAGAAGGTTACTTGTAAAAATGAACAAGCACATGTCATTGCGCAAGTATTTGTGTTCTCAGCAGCAATAATTTTCAATATATACAAACACAATCAGTTGTAAACAAAAACATTTTAAAAAGCATTATGGAAATGGATGTCCAGAAGTACATCTGTCCATAACATGTGACCCCAATACCACTCACAGAAAGAGAGCATGAGAAAAACAATACGTTTTAGTTTTTTTGCCATTGTTTAGATATAACCATCACATCCGAAAGGCGATGCTCAAATGAGCTCTTCCATGCATATTTTCTCATGTAGAACAGTAAAAAAATCAGTAATCAAAACAATGGCTATTAAGAAAATTCAACGATTTAGGAAAAAAATAATAATTTACCTGTATTTTTAACTACAGCCTTTACCCAGAAGTCTAACAGGAATAACATGAAAAAAAGAAAAGAAACAAGCAGAACAGAACAAAAATGATTTCCAAAAATTCAGATTCAGGGCTTTTCCTACAGTTTTGTTTTGTCAAAATATTCCTATTCCAAAAGTAAATAATTGAAATGGATGCTATAAAGTTTTTTAAAAAAATCTAAAAGTAAAAATTCTTTCTAAAAATCATAGAAAAGCCCTGTTATTATAGACAAAACTGAAGAAAGAAAAGTATGCATGTTAACACATCTTAGGCCAATATCTATATCAATGCAATACATTTTGAATTTGAGCCTATCATGATAAGGAAAAGGCATAAACTTGAGAGATAGTCAACTCTACTATAGTGAACTTTTGTCTATTTTTCCATGCATATTCAAAATATAATTTTTAGTTGCATGCCATTTGTCCCAGAATTTAGGTCTGATTTGAAATACACAAAATCCCCCCCAAAACAAAATTTTAAACTGAAAATTCTTTTTTGTAAAATCATATTCAAAAATTATACTTGTTAGTTAGGACTACTTTAAAATCAGCACTAGTTGGCATTTTTATCAACCCAGGCCATAGCCATAGATAGACGAAATGGGAGTCATAATGTAAACATAGAACTGTATAGCCTACTGTCAGTAGTCTGACATACAGTTCTATGATGTAAATAAGACTCAGTCACTGAGTCAGACCGTAGCCGTACTAGTGTCAAGTGGCTTCCGAAGAATATCTAGACATATCACAATGACAAATATTTCAAACATTAAAAAGAAAACTTATCTAATAAAGCAAATGAAAACACTTGCTGGAGGATGTAAATTCGACGAAATCTCTGCAAACTACGCTGGACGAAGTAAGCTCTCACCTCATCTCCCTTCAGTGATTTCCGCCTTTTCACAGCAACAATCCACATCTTTATTTGAACATCCAGGAACACAACAACAAGTTTTAGGCATGTCGTAATCTGAGTTCTGTAGCTGTCAAACAATATTACTAAAGCGCACGGTCGACTTCCGGGACCCTAGTTGGTGGCGCCATCTTCAGGGGCAGATAATCCAAGTTTGGTTCCCCATTGGTAGGCTCAATACTGAACATTGCCCATTGCTGTCCCTGAAGTTTGTAAATATGTTTTACCATTAAATGTGAAATCGTTTCGACTAAGACAAATCTCTAAAAGTTGTAGAATTGCATCGTCGGGTCTGTTTGGATCTGGGTTTCTATTAAAAGCTTTACGAACTGCCGTTAAACCAGTAGTGTTATCGATATTGGTATACATAGAAGAAACGTCGATAGAAATTAAAATAGCATTAGAGGGGACTCGAAGATTTTTTATTTTATTGACAAAATCGGTTGTGTCTTTAAGGTAGGCGCGATGTTGGCATGCTAGAGGTAGTAAGAAATGATCAATGTATTCTGACACTGCATATGACTCACTACCACAGTCAGATATAATCGGGCGGCCTTTAGGGATTTTATTCGAGATAAACCACTCCTTGGTTGGATTCTTATGGATTTTAGGCAAAGTGTACAAATGTCTCTCGCGACAATCAGGTTTGGCAGACAGATAGTCATATTGTTTCTGTTTGAGATAACTAGTTTTGACTAAATCGGCAAGAATATTATTAATCATGTTAGCAGATTCTTTGAAAATTGGTTTCGGTAAAATGGCATAATGTTTAGGATTATTCAGTTGATTCTCTGCTTCTGAAACGTAATCCTCCCTATGACACAACATGAACCTTTGTCACTCTTTTTAATAACAATGCTATCGTCTTTCTTAAGTAAGTTTAACGCTTCATGTTCCACTCGTGTGAGATTAGGCTTTTCGTGTGTTATGGAAAGGTTCACTGTTTGGCTATTCATACTCGCAAATGCTTTCAATATTTCAGGATGAATGGCGGCCTGAGGGGGTGTGCACGTGGATTTAGGAATAAACATTGTTCTAGCACCACGTGGGGGGTGGTTTCGAAAAAAATATGTGCAGCTAAGATTTCGTTGAAATCGTTCAATGGATGGTCGGAGATAATTCAAGTTAGCTATCTTTGGTGTGGGAATAAACTTAAGTCCACGGTCTAAGATTGAATACTGAAGGGGTGTGAGAATTTTACGGCTCAAGTTAACTACAGTTTGGCCTAGCGGTGGCCTCTCAGTATTTTTATCCCCAGTAATTAGTTTAAAGACTTACTCGATGCTTGAAGCTGGTGTATCCAAAACAAATAGATGCTGTTTGCTGTTTCTGGAGACCAATGAAGATTATCAACTGTTTCGAATTCTTCTTCGTAGGGTGGTAAGATTGTTGCGCTGTTGATACTGGACTCCATCATCATGTTGTTGAGAGTTCTGAGGTTCTGTTGTGCTTTCTTCGAGATTTTATTTGAAATGGGTTTACATGTGAAGAGGATCTTGGAGTTTGGGAAGGTTTTGTTGGCTGTGGCGATTAATTTCTGGGCTTGGTTTAAGGAGGTCTTTGGTATCTGATCACGGTTGTTGAGGCCTACATGAAGAATAATGGTAGTAGGTTTGGGATCATGGTCGTATGATTCCAGGATTGACTGTATGTGATGGATTTGGGCACCGGGGTAAGAATGTATTTCGGTGTCTGAACTGGTTTTGGTAATTCGATTCAGGTTGGATGATCCAATTATTAGGGTAGATTTCTTTAGAGCAGGTAGTTTCCATAATGATTTGTCCTTGGTTTGGTGATAATACGGTTTGGTAGCGGATATAATGGTCGTCGACGGTGTGATTGGTACTGGTTTGGTAGTTGTTAGAATTGTAGCATTGGGAACAGACTGGGATCTGGTTCGAGGAGGGGAAGGTCTGGATACACGTCTCGACTTGGATGGAGACTGAGGGGTGGTTTGCTGGTCCAAAAACGCACAGAAGGAAGAAAGGTTGGCGGATCCTGGATCACGTGGTGAAGAT